TTAACACAAGAGTGAAGAACCCTATGAGTGATTGGACAGAGGTGGATCTGCAATAGGAGGATCATCCAGAATTTTGCCTTAAGTCCCAAATCTGAAGCAGAAAAAAGGCTATGGAGAGTCCTTTAGCCCAAATTATGGCAATCAGTCAGGTTGTGCCATTCAGAAAACTTTTCCGTGGCTTCACTAGCTTAGGGATGAAATGCATTTAAACTAAAACCAACCAAAACCTTAAGAAATTAAAACAGAATCAGTGTGGAAAATAATGACAAATAAAACAGGAAAAAAAAAAACATATAAAAGTCTGATTGCCAAAGAGCATGCAGTAAAGACATCTTGCATCAACCTTAGCTTGTAGAAGTTCATCTACTGTAGGTTCATCTTCAGTAGGTGCGTGGTAGCGTCCAGCAGTTTGGATGGCTGCTAATAAGGGAGGTGATCACTTAAGAGCACAAATGGCTTGCTGCATCATTCCAGGGCAAAGCCTACTACCCAAAGAAAGCAACCAGGATTCTCTGGAAGCAACACAATTTTCTTATGCACAGGCAGTAAGAATTGTTACACCACGACCAAAGAAACAGTTCAGATTCTCACCTTATGTACACCTGCACTGCCTCAGTGAAATCTCTGCTGTACCTGGTATAACTCCACACAACTGCCGTGACTGAGCTCTCTTGCAGTAACAGTGATCAGAAGAAAAATGGAAAACAAACTATCTGAGTCACCAATGGTCAGTTTATTGGCTTTTATTTGCCAAAGCATGCCTTGAGTGATGTAAAGGAAAATGCATTCATCGTCTGTCTGCAGTGCCTCCAAGACACTCCAAACTCCATAAAATATTCTTCAGTAGTTCTCATTTGCTTCTTTTCCAAAAATGCCTGAAGCCCAGCAGTTTATGAAGCAATCTTTTTCCAACTAGATTTAAAAAAAAAAAAATCTGGGGACCACTCAGCACTGCTAGATCTCATGCTTAGGAGCTATATTCAGTCCATTATCTTCACTGCTCAGTCCCAATTACTATGAAAGTATTTAATTTCCTCTCTGATATTCCTTCAACAACAGATTGCAGTTTGTGACACTTCAGGTAATTTTGGTAGTTCATTTAACACACACTGAAACATGAATATCTGTTGTTTATGCTCCCAAGCTCTGGCTCACTGCAATAAAGGATGGAGAAAGTAGATGCAGGCTCTGGAGATTGAGAACCTGAACGTGATTACTACTGCCTGAAAACTTGTTTTGTCTTGGTAGTGTTGGGGTACAGCTAGGATCTTTCATGAATGATTAATGAACTGTAGGCAGATCAATGAAACTCTGCCCTAAATGTATCTAGAACCAATTCAGGTGAGGGACGAAGAAGTCTAACCAGCCAGTATCCTGTAATTTACAACTCTTGATGTAGTGAAATGGAGTAATCCATCACACTTACTGTGGCTAGTTACTCAAGCCTAAGTACCTGAGTCACCTAAGGGATATATTTTTTTTTCACCCTGCCTCCTACTTAGCATTAAAGTTATTATGTGATGGGCTGGCCTTCAATATCCTTGTTCTTTCTGGGGAAACCCTCCCTCGATGAGTAACCCCATTAGTTCCAGGAACAGAAATGTTAGGGTTACACTCAGTAGTGCTGAACAAATCAGAGTACAACATAATCACTTATCAAGAGAATATTAAGCTTCCCACAAAATACCTTTTAGTGATCAGTCTTGGAGATCTTTAAATTCTGTCGACAGCAAAATTATTTCTTATCTCTAATTTATATAAGCAGCACAAACACTTACTTCCAGGAATAATAAAGAATGTATAACATATTCTCATCTTCTTTCTTGATGGATGATGAGTTGGTCTCAATAATGTTGTTAATGATGTAAGATAAAATGCAAATTAAGCAGCACAATCAAAAGCAAGGTATTCAAAAACAGTGGTGAGGGAAGTTTATGATACTAAGTACCACCCGTTTGCTTACATTGCTACATAGATAATGCCAGCATATTAGAAACATAATAAATCAAAGAAAGCTGTTTCTGTAGCAGGAGTTTCTCAAGCTATGGGTCATGACCCTCCATGGGGATTCGTGAATAACCTTGAATGGGGTCACAATAAACTGTTAGCAAGAACCAGGGGCAGGTATTTCCCCACAAGTTGAGCAGCCAAGCCGAGTAGCAAGGGAACGAGAAAACAGACTGTAATTGCAAGTATTTATTCTTGCTAGGGAACTGCTAACTACCTTTAATTACAACAGCTAACTTTCTCCAGGAGATGGGAGCAATATAGGCCAGAATTAAAATTGCCAGATAGTTGCTAACTGCCTTTCATTGCAGGCAATAGATCTGCTCCTCGAGGGAGGAAGAGTAAGCTTGCAACTGGATCTGATTCCCCATTCATTCAGAAATGGGGCCATTACCAACTCAAGGGGTCACACAAATATGCAGTCAAACATGGCTGCATTTCAAACCCATGAGAAAGAAATCAATACTCTCATTTATAGAATGTGCCACCACCAGGCAAGGAGCAAGGTGCCCCCTGCAACCTGCATTGCATCCTGGTAAAGAAGGATGCCTATTAAAGGACTTAATATGAGAAGCCAATTGAAAAAGTAGAATGATCTCACTGAGAAGTACTTTTACATTTCTTTCTGCTGTCCTGCCTGTCATCTGAATGCACTTGCTTGCCCAGAAAGGATCACCTTTTCAATGCAGTCAGCAGCTGGATAAACCAAAATGGAAACTAGAGACTGGCACTTGAGGCTGCAGCCTAGCTCCACATGGCCCAGCTCAGTTTAACATTCCCTGCAGATCATGACAAGAGTCCTCTCCTCTTCTCTCCTTAGGGTTGCTTCCACCTGGGCTGGGAGACAAAGCACCCAGCTCTTCTTCCTCTTTCAAAATTGGGAGTTTGGGGAAAAAAAGAGGGTGGCATGTATCCCACATCCCCATGTTAGGGAACTTTTAGGATCATGAAAGCCTACATGTGCCTCCATGCGGTCTCTGCAAGGTCTCCGAGGACTCTGGCTACCAAACAACCATCTCCTTCAGTGCCTTCTGGCTCCTCTGGCCACCACAAACCTTGCTCCAGTTGAGCTCTGCATCTCCCCAGAAAGGTGTAGAAGAGGTAAAAATAGACTCACCATCCAGGTTACAAATGAGCTGACAAAAAGGAAAAGTAAATAAATAAATATAGGAAAAGTGCTATTTTTCAGATGGATCAGTTTTCTTACCCGCTTCATCGCACCATCTGTGGTGGTCTAAGCCAAGAGTGGGAAATAATTTCAAGTGTCTTAAAGAGCACTGCCACATAGTGGCTGCCTGTAAGGAAAGGGTGAGAGAGGAGAAGTGATGGTGACTTGAGCAGTATCTGCATTACTTGGCTCTGGGGAAGGGATCTGATAGTGAGAGGAGGCTCCCGGGCTTTGCAAAATCATAGCACACTGCAGGGGTCAGCATTAAGTCACAGGACATCCTTAAACCTAAGGCTTGGGTCTTTCCTGTGTCTTTGCACCAGTAGTGGGGTGAGATTGTTATAGTGAGCCCCTATCAGAAGCAAGAACAGACACAATGCCAGAGTGCTGAAATGGAGGGCAGTTGAAAAGGGTTGTGCCCAAAGAGCATGCAACTATGTTGAGCTACTAGAGATAATAATACAATTGGGTTCCCATTGCTGTTTTCCTAACACTGAAGTCAGCAGGTGTGTGCCATGAGCACCTTCCCACTGAGCTGGTGGTACCTATGCAGCCCTTCCCATGGGCTCTCTGCTGAATGGTGAAGTTAAAGGAGAACCCACTTGTGAGCCATTCTGCTGGCACAGTCTTTATCTCCTGATAGCCACCAGCTCAGGCTGCCCAGGTCCCCATCCAGCCTGTCCTTGATCACCTCCAGGGATGGGGCACCACAGCTGTGCCAGCGCCTCACCACTCTCTGAGTGTAGAAATCCCTCCTGACATCTAACCTACCTACATTCATGCTCTCCAGTTCTGACCAGAATGCCAGTTTGTGCATTCAGGGCTGGGGATGCAGCCTCTCCTATCTAAAGAAGCCAGAGGGATTGGTTGCAAAACATACTTGCTGGTGGCTGCAAAGCGAAAATGTATGTTCAATTCCCTCCCTTATCCGTGCCATGTGGCTTTGTGTCCTTTCTTTGCCAGGCACAGCTCAGATGAGGACAAGAGGGGAGGGCAGCCGCAAGCAGAATTGGGGCTTTAAAGCAGATTTTCAGAACATTATGGATTTCATCTTTGCTTAGCAGCTAATTACTGTACCGAAGCCATGAATCACCCTGCTTGAAGTGATTCAAGGAGGGGAAAGAATAATAATAATAAAGTGGCAAACCAGCTCGGGGATAGGCTTGGGAGTCCTATTAAACTTGAGAGGCTATGATTCTATTCCCAGGACTGCTGGCTAACACAAGAACAAGCACCATGCTTCCCCACCCCATCCAAAGAGTTGTGCTAGGCAAAAGCCGAGGAGCAAACCAGCAACAGGTCAATCCTGCGCTGCATAGCCAAGGGTTGCCAGCAGATTGACATGGCAGCGCTCTGGAAAAGTCTGCAGCAGCCCTGGCAGGCTTCGCTAAATCTGTAATTATAGCTACGGGCTTCGTCGCACAAGGAACCAAATATGTGATGTTTGTTTCTGTGGAAGAATGGGAGGAGACCGATGGTAAAGGAGAGGGAGTGGGAGCGCAGAGCGGGGAGAGGGGAAGGAGGAGAGCTGAGCCCTGCAGAGCTCTCTCTCAGAGACCTGCAGAAAACATCTAAATAGAGCAGTTCAGACCTCAAATACTGCACCGTGCTCTGACAGCCCCCTGGTTTATGGCGCGCTTAACAAAGTGCTCTTACATTGACCAGGCTGGAATGTCCATTTTGCCGTAGAGTCTCTGCTACTTTGGTAGTACTTTAAAATTTGGACACGTGACAAAAATGTGTGTAACGCATTTTTTAAAGTGTTGATTGTGCTCGTAATTTTAAAGTCAGAATATAAAATAAACATCTCTGCCCTTTCTTCCAGCAGGCAGCACAGAGATCTGCTCTCCGCGTTCTGTCTGACAGGTACATTTTGTCATTTTTATGAACTATAAATTGCTTTATGAAACGTTGAGCCCTATTTATTGTGGCATATAACTCATAATCGGATTTTGTCCCCAAAGTATCTGCGAACTGGGATGTTAAACATTTTGCATGCTTGGATTTGTCATGCATGTGTAGAGTTTATTACTGCAAAAATCGCAGTCTTGTTGTATTTCATACAGAGTATGCAGAATCCCTTGTTGTGACACCAAACGAGAGATAAGGAACTTACTGTGGAAGGCATGAATGATGCAGTAAATTCTCAGCTTTAGAGTTTCCTGAGATATATCTAAGCTCATTTTTCAGCAATAAGTACTTCATTTATTTTGAGATGTTCTCTTTTGACTTTTTCCAAATTCTTTCCCTGGGAATTGCTCTTCCTGTGATGAGATTCTCCATACATTTCATGCACAAAAACAATGCCTTTTTTTCACCCTTTAAATTTTGAGGGATGGATATTTTAGAGGAATTTAATTCTTTTTTTTTTTTTTTCACTTCTGGAGCTGGAGCAGTGCTTCGGGCAGATAGGCAAGGGACCAAATCCTCAGCCAGCATTCGGGTTTTACTCAGCTCTTTTTCAAGTGAATTTCCATCAACTTCAATGAGAAAATGGCCCGAGCGAGGAATTCGGGATTTGGGCCACAGTAAATGTTATAGTTGGGCCGTAAGTCTGCACAGGTATTTACCTTAAATGACTTTTATGAAAGAGGATTGATTGAAATATAAGGTAGCTTTCTAAGACGGTCCTAATTTCTTTTCCAGTTTTGGGAACAGGGGGGGGAGGGAGAGAGAGACCGTACGTTTTAGTGCCTGTGAAAAAGAACCAGCAGATTTACATTTATCCACAAATGAGGCACTGTGTCACGCAGGCTGACACAGAGTAAATTTCCCCCTGCCTCGCTGGCAGCCCCCTCCACCCGCCTGGCCCCCTGCCCCCGCCTCCCTGGGAATAAGCAGTAATTGACTCTTGAAGCCAGCCCGGGCCAGGATTTCTCCAGAGCAGAGCCTGTCACTTAGGCTGAATTATATCTTGTGCATGGATGAATAACATTTCTCTCTGCTCTGAGGCTAAGACTGCCAAAATTATCGACACCCCACCACCACCCGCACAGTTTACAAACACTGTTTTGTTTAGGGGGTTTTTGTGGGCCCCCCCTTAAGGAAAAAAATGCCAGGGTGAAATGTATGGGATGTGGTTGAAATCGGTGGGTTGGTTGTAGGGCATATGAGTATTGGCTGTAGAAGGGACAAACTCGAAGGGAAAGAAGAGTCAGGGCAGCATGAAGGGCAATGGTGGAGTGGAAGCTTGGCCACCAGGCAAAGAGCTTTTGACGTGGTGGGGACCTCTCTGTGATAGTGGGGGGCTTCTAAGCACCCTTCCCCTGTGCTGAATGAGGAACATTCCTACAGAGCTGCCCCTGGGAGCAGTAAGCGTTCCCCAGGTCTTGCACCGTGTCCCCCAGGTAGAGCAGTGATGGTGTTGCCTCTTTGAGGTGTGAGCAGTGGCCCAAAAGTAGCCCTTTGGCCTTGGCTGAAGCAAGGGCACCTGCTATATGGCTGCTCAGCACTCGTGTCCCAGCAGCAGCAAGGAGCACCAGCACATCCCAGCACCAGGGGAGGTGGTGGGTGAATCCAAGCTCTCCGCAATTTCAGCCATCATTCTTTTCATAAACACTATTCTCTGTTGCTCTTACTTCAGCTTTTGCTTTTGACTTCTGTTAAAAAGGTAACAGCTAGCTAAACTGAAAGAGGCACCAAAAAAAAAAAAAAAAAAAAAAAAAAAAAGAGTTTTTAAACCTGTGGCCATTGATTTCTTCAGTGTGTTGCACTCAGTCTTGTTTTCAGCCTGCCACAGTAACCCCCAGCAGATTTATGTGCAAACACAAAGATTAGTGACCCAGAAGCCTGACTGAAACAGCTTTTCTGCTTCCAGAAGACAGGTTGCTCTGCACATGCACTGACTGTTTTGTCAGGGAAGATGCACAGGCCCCATTAGCCTTGCATTCTCTCGTGAAAAACCCTCAGTGTTTATACAGCACAGCTTGGTTTTAATTTTATTATGCTCTTTGGTATAGTGTTCTAACTACAGAAATTGCTCCTTTTCTGGAGCAGAGAAGAACAAAAATTTAACTCGTATACTTTAATGATACAGTGCCAGTCTTCAGCTGTTTGACTCTCATATCCATTGCCCAAGTAGCTTTTAAATTAAGAAAAATGTCTGTACCTGAAGTATTTGTTGTGATCTGTTATTATTTAACAGTGAGCGGTGTGGTTAAGCCAGGTCTTAAACCTGCTTAATCCCACTGAGCTAAATAGATTTTATTATTGACTCCCATGGTCCCGGAACTCTGACCTCAGGACTGAAGTTAAAAGCTAATTTCGCGCAGTCTGTTCCACTAACCCAGAAGCACTTGCTCACTGGACACATTTGCAGTGGGGAATGTCCAGCTGTAAATTACAGATGTTTGTAATCATACTCAAGCACAACACTCATTATTGTTCTTTTGTTCTTTTTCGGCTGAAAAGCCCACCATGAGGGAGACCGCACTTAATCCACACATTAAATTTACTTGCAGCTCATATTCATACTCAAGATAAAATTTTCCATGAAGTAAAGATTTACAGTGGTCCTAGGGCACTCCTATTCCCCTAGCTGCTTTTATTTCTCCGTGCTGCAGTTCAGGCCAAGTGGGTCTGCCTGAGGGTTTTGAATGCTTAGAGGAAAGCCTCATGCCACCGCTGAATTTCCTCTCTGGCTTTAATAGGGAAAAGCTGTCTCATTCCCTGCAGTGCTTGGGTGGTACTTACGAGAGATGCCTAATTCACAGTCCCAACCTATTATCCTCTTTGTTTCCTTACTGTGGAGGATCAGACAGACCCCACTAGCTCTGCTAGACAGAGCTGGTCTGGCAAAGAGGGGACTGAGCCGTGTGGCCTTTGTAGCCAGCTCCCTGTCCCGCTGATAAAGCCTGCAAGGAGCCCACTGTAAGCTCACTGGCTTATACTCAGCACCTGGTTAATATATTTGTTTCATCCACGCCTGAACTGCTAAGTACAGGCTGCTAATAAATCTTTTTGACTTACCACCTTGGGCTGCTGATAGACAAGGCATCTCAACACTAACATCAGTTCTGCAGAGCAAACAAGCTCCATTCAGGGAGTTTGGTGAGCTCCACTGATCTTTGGTCTGCTTTTGTGTTTGGTGGAAGGGATAATACTTCACATTTCCAGGTAGCCATGCCCTCTCTATCCATATTTGGTCACAGTTAGGATGCATGATGTACAATATGTGCTGGTTTACTGTTATGGATTACTATTATGACCAGCTGTACTCAAGGTCCTCATAGAATCATCTGGGTTGAAAAAAACCTCCAAGCTCATAGAATCATAGAATCATAGAATCATAAAGGTTAGAAAAGATCCCTAAGATCATTTAGTCAAACCATCCATCTACCACCAGTACTGCCCACTAAACCATGTCCCTAAGTACTACATCTGCCCTTTCCTGAACTTGTCCAGGGACAGTGACTCCACCGCATCCATGGGCAGCCTGTGCCAGTGCCTCTCCACTCTTTCTGAGAAGCCATTTCTCCTAATATCCAAGCTGAACCTCCCCTAACACCAAGTCCAACCACTGGCCTGACCTATGAGTTCCAGGATGGGTGTGGGGAAATGAGCAGCCGGTCATGAGAAGCAGTGGAGCCACACATCTGCAGGCAGAGAGATGATTTGGGAGCAGAAGTGATGCTGAACTGACTTTCAGGTGTTGTGGTCAATGGCTTTATGTCCAGATGAAGGCTGGTAATGAGCAGTGTCCCCCAGGGGTCTGTCTTGGGACTGGTACTCTTTAGCACCTTTATCAGTGATATGGATGATGGGATCAAGTGCACCCTCCACAGTTTGCTGATGACACCAAGCTGAGCGGCGCAGTTGATACAGCAGAAGGAAGGGATGCCATGGGAGGGACCTTGATAAACTTGAAAGGAGGGCTTCTGTGAACCTAATGAGGTTCAGCAAAGCAAAATTCAAGGTTTTGCACTTGGATTGGGGTCATTCCAGACATGTATACAGACTGGGAGAATTCCTTGAGAGTAGCCCTGCAGAGAAGGACTTAGGCATCCTGGTAGATGAAAAACTGAGCATGAGCCAGCAGTGTGCACTTGCAGCCCAGAAAGCCAACTGTATCTTGGGATGCATCAGAAGAGGGGTGGCCAGCAGAGTGAGGGAGGTTATTGTCCTTTTCTACTCTGCCCTCATGAGGCCCCATCTTGAGGACTGCACCGAAGACTGGGGTCCTCAACACTGGAGAGAAATGGATTGTTTGGAGGGGATCTAGAGGAGGGCCTCAAATATGATTCAAGGACTGCAGCACCTCTCCTATGAAGACAGGTTGAAGGAGCTGGTCTTGTTAAGAGAAGATAAGGCTACTAGGAGACCTCATTATGGCCCTCTAGTATTTAAAGAGAGATTATAAATAGGAGGGAAATAAACTTTTTACAAGAGCAGATAGTAATAGGACAAGGGAGAATGGTTTTAAACTAAAGGAGGAAAGATTTAGGGTAGATGACTAGGAGAAGTTTTTCACAGAGTGTGGTGCAGTGCTGGAGTAGGTTCTTGGAGAGGTATGGATGCCCCATCCCTGGAGGTGATCAAGGCCAGGTGGGATGAGACCCTGGGTAATCTGATCTAGTCCTTGATCTAGAGGTTGGCAGGGGCAGGGGGTTAGAACTTGATGATCCTTGAGGTCCCTTCCAATTCAAGCCACTCTGATTCTCTGATTCTGTGATAGCATCGCTTTTCTTGCTGAGCTAGCCTTCCACACAAGGGGCAATGTGGTTAGCTTATCAGAAAGTGACTCAGCTTGCTGGATGGCCTGCAAGCTTTGATGTGACAGTGCTGTCTGATCAGTGACAGCCACAGGGAAGTTCTGGTTCAGGACAGCTGCTCTGGGTCCCAGCAGAGAATGAAGAAACTGAGAAAAT